GAAGACCAGTCTGTGACTGCACTGAGGATCCAGGGAAACCAGCCTGTGACTGCACTGAGGATCCAGGGAAGACCAGTCTGTGACTGCACTGAGGATCCAGGGAAGACCAGCCTGTGACTGCACTGAGGATCCAGGGAAGACCAGTCTGTAACTGCACTGAGGATCCAGGGAAGACCAGCCTGTGACTGCACTGAGGAGCCAGGGAAGACCAGTTTGTGACTGCACTGAGGATCCAGGGAAGACCAGCCTGTGACTGCACTGAGGATGCAACACTATTCTGTTTGTACAGCAAACACTGGACCATCCACAAGCTTCAAAGACTGAAACTTTTTTAAGGCAGTCTGACAAACCTCTAAAGTTGATTCCCAGACTGGGTGGATAGAGTCTTTTCCCAATGACACAAAACATGGAAAACAAAAATGGGAGGAAGACCTGGGAGACACTATTGGTGATGATGAATGGATACAGATATGTTTGAATGCCCAGTTCATGTTCATATCATCTCAGACATAAATTACTGCAGTTTAAGACCATCCATAGAACGTACTATATGCCAATGAAAGTGAATTTCATGCACTCAGACATGTTAATTCCTCTGCTGGAGGTGTAAAACACAAAAGGGGACATAATTGCATATGTTATGGTCTTGTGAAGGCTGGCTGAATTCTGGCAAAGAGTATGTTCTTTTATCTCAGCATGTCTACAGATTCTCCCTTCTCCCTGTTTTTGTTTGCTTGGAAATGTTAATACTGGAGACTGTCATCAGAAGAATCTGTGTTACCTAGCATTTATAGTGGCTAAGAAATGCATTGCCATTAATTGGAATGTTGGTTATCCTCCCACAATGTCACAATGGATTGCAGAAATGTCAAGTTATGTACAGTGGCTTGCAAAAGTATTCACCCCCCTTGGCATTTTTCCTATTTTGCTGCCTTACAAACTGGAATTAAAATGGATTTTGGGGGGGGGGGGGGTTGTATCATTTGATTTACACAACATGCCTACCACTTTGAAGATGCAAAATATATTTATTTGTGAAACAAACAAAAAATAAGACAAAAAAACAGAACTTGAGCGTGCATAACTATTCACCCCCCCAAATTCAATACTTTTAGAGCCACCTTTTGCAGCAATTACAGCTGCAAGTCTCTTGGGGTATGTCTCTATAAGCTTGGCACATCTAGCCACTGGGATTTTTGCCCATTCTTCAAGGCAAAACTGCTCCAGTTCCTTCAAGTTGGATGGGTTCCGCTGGTGTACAGCAATCTTTAAGTCATACCACAGATTCTCAATTGGATTGAGGTCTGGGCTTTGACTAGGCCATTCCAAGACATTTAAATATTTCCCCTTAAACCACTCGAGTGTTGCTTTAGCAGTATGCTTAGGGTCATTGTCCTGCTGGAAGGTGAACCTCCGTCCCAGTCTCAAATCTCTGGAAGACTGAAACAGGTTTCCCTCAAGAATTTCCCTGTATTTAGCGCCATCCATCCATCCATTTCCTAAATTTTAGTCTCATCTGACCAGATTACAGTTGAAGTCGGAAGTTTACATACACTTAGGTTGGAGTCATTAAAACTCATTTTTCAACCACTCCACAAATTTCTTGTTAACAAACTAAAGTTTTGGCAAGTCGGTTAGGACATCTACTTTGTGCATGACACAAATAATTTTTCCAACAATTGTTTACAGATAGATTATTTCATTTATAATTCACTGTATCACAATTCCAGTGGGTCAGAAGTTTGCATACACTAAGTTGACTGTGCCTTTAAACAGCTTGGAAAATTCCAGAAAATGATGTCATGGCTTTAGAAGCTTCTGATAGGCTAATTGACATCATACGGGTCACTTGGAGGTGTACATGTGGATGTATTTCAAGGCCTACCTTCAAACTCAGTGCCTCTTTGCTTGACATCATGGGAAAATCAAAAGAAAATCAGCCACTTCTACATGAATGTCGATGCTACCATGATTAAAATTAATCCTGAATGAATCGTGAATATTGATGAGTGAGAAAGTTACAGACTCACAAATATCATACCCCCAAGACATGCTAACCTCTCACCGTTACAATAACAGGGGAGGTTAGCATTTTTGGGGGGTATGATATTTGTGCGGCTATAACTTTCTCACTCATCATTATTCACGATTAATTCAGGATTATCCATAATCATGATAGCATCCACATTCATGAAGAAGTGTTTAGAAACATATTTACAATAAAAGTGACTCCAAAAGAGTAATATTAGATTGTTTAATTTCCTGGATTTCTACACAATCAATCAGAGGGAGGACCCCAGACCCCCCGCCAGCTTATGTCCCCCCCCCCCCCCACACTTCTAAAACCAAAGTTGCGCCCCTGGTCCTATCTGTGCTTGGAGTTAAAAAAAGTTAACCCCAAATAAGCTAACAGTGTTATTAAAAGTCTTACTGAAACATTCATTGAACGTTTTAAGGAAGTTGTTAAAAATACTTCAAATAACCTATAATTTCTGTTCTCAGAGCGTTAATAAAACCTCCCAGGAAAACTTTCAGGGAACCATAGTAAGATGTTCTCAGAACCTACCTTCAACCTAAAACTTAACGTTACCAGAACAGGCAAGGTTTTCACTTCCGTTCTCAGAACGTTTAAATAACGTTCAGTTTTACCGGTCAGTAAAGTCATGCCTTCGTCCCCAGAACCAATGGTAAATCAAAAATGTAAGTTCCCACAACTTTCAACAAACCAAATGCGCTAGTTGGGATTCCACTTCCTGTACTCCGTGTCATATGCCAAGTTATACAGTGGGGAAAAAAAGTATTTAGTCAGCCACCAATTGTGCAAGTTCTCCAACTTAAAATGATGAGAGATGCCAGTAATTTTCATCATAGGTACACGTCAACTATGACAGACAAATTGAGAATTTTTTTTCTCCAGAAAATCACATTGTAGGATTTTTTATGAATTTATTTGCAAATTATGGTGGAAAATAAGTATTTGGTCACCTACAAACAAGCAAGATTTCTGGCTCTCACAGACCTGTAACTTCTTCTTTAAGAGGCTCCTCTGTCCTCCACTCGTTACCTGTATTAATGGCACCTGTTTGAACTTGTTATCAGTATAAAAGACACCTGTCCACAACCTCAAACAGTCACACTCCAAACTCCACTATGGCCAAGACCAAAGAGCTGTCAAAGGACACCAGAAACAAAATTGTAGACCTGCACCAGGCTGGGAAGACTGAATCTGCAATAGGTAAGCAGCTTGGTTTGAAGAAATCAACTGTGGGAGCAATTGTTAGGAAATGGAAGACATACAAGACCACTGATAATCTCCCTCGATCTGGGGCTCCACACAAGATCTCACCCCGTGGGGTCAAAATGATCACAAGAACGGTGAGCAAAAATCCCAGAACCACACGGGGGGACCTAGTGAATGACCTGCAGAGAGCTGGGACCAAAGTAACAAAGCCTACCATCAGTAACACACTACGCCGCCAGGGACTCAAATCCTGCAGTGCCAGACGTGTCCCCCTGTTTAAGCCAGTACATGTCCAGGCCCGTCTGAAGTTTGCTAGAGTGCATTTGGATGATCCAGAAGAGGATTGGGAGAATGTCATATGGTCAGATGAAACCAAAATATAACTTTTTGGTAAAAACTCAACTCGTCGTGTTTGGAGGACAAAGAATGCTGAGTTGCATCCAAAGAACACCATACCTACTGTGAAGCATGGGGGTGGAAACATCATGCTTTGGGGCTGTTTTTCTGCAAAGGGACCAGGACGATTGATCCGTGTAAAGGAAAGAATGAATGGGGCCATGTATCGTGAGATTTTGAGTGAAAACCTCCTTCCATCAGCAAGGGCATTGAAGATGAAACGTGGCTGGGTCTTTCAGCATGACAATGATCCCAAACACACCGCCCGGGCAACGAAGGAGTGGCTTCGTAAGAAGCATTTCAAGGTCCTGGAGTGGCCTAGCCAGTCTCCAGATCTCAACCCCATAGAAAATCTTTGGAGGGAGTTGAAAGTCCGTGTTGCCCAGCGACAGCCCCAAAACATCACTGCTCTAGAGGAGATCTGCATGGAGGAATGGGCCAAAATACCAGCAACAGTGTGTGAAAACCTTGTGAAGACTTACAGAAAACGTTTGACCTGTGTCATTGCCAACAAAGGGTATATAACAAAGTATTGAGAAACTTTTGTTATTGACCAAATGCTTATTTTCCACCATAATTTGCAAATACATTCATAAAAAATCCTACAATGTGATTCTCTGGAGAAAAAAAATCTCATTTTGTCTGTCATAGTTGACAGTTGACCTATGATGAAAATTACAGGCCTCTCTCATCTTTTTAAGTGGGAGAACTTGCACAATTGGTGGCTGACTAAATACTTTTTTCCCCCACTGTATTTCGCATGACAAGGAGTGGCAAGGAGTAGAATGTTATCACAAAGTAGACTGGTACCCAGGCTAAGAAGATCCCGTAGGGTTGACAGCCTGTTTTGCGAGGGAGACCTGGCAAGACTTGGATAGCAGGACCAGGCTAACTGTAGACTTACAGTAGTTAGCAGGACCTGGCTAACTGTATACTAAGATAACAGGACCAGGCTAACTGTAGACTTAGTTAGCAGGACCAGGCTAACTGTAGACTTAAATAGCAGGACCTGGCTAACTGTAGACTTAAATAGCAGGACCAGGCTAACTGTAGACTTAAATAGCAGGACCAGGCTAACTATAGACTTAGTTAGCAGGACCAGGCTAACTGTAGACTTATATAGCAGGACCAGGCTAACTGTAGACTTAAATAGCAGGACCTGGCTAACTGTAGACTTAAATAGCAGGACCAGGCTAACTGTAGACTTAAATAGCAGGACCAGGCTAACTGTAGACTTAAATAGCAGGACCAGGCTAACTGTAGACTTAAATAGCAGGACCAGGCTAACTGTAGACTTAAATAGCAGGACCAGGCTAACTGCATACCTAAGTTAGGCTAACTGCAGACCTAAGTTAGGCTAACTTTACCTGGAGGTGAAGAGAGCCTTCTCGTTGATCATCTGGAATCTGAAGATGTTGACAGCCTTATAGACGTCTATCACATCCTGGTACTTCTCCAGTAGAGGCCTGGAGAGAGAGACAGGTTAGAAAAGTGTCACTCCACAATATTACCACACTAGATTAAATACAACAATGTGGAGTTGAGACGTTATAAACCTCCATAGGCAATCAATGTCATCAATATCAATCAGCATACATTACATCATCAATATCAATCAGTATACATTATATTGTATCAGTTGTAATACATTATAATATCCTCAAGATACCTGTAATATGACCCTGACTTGTCCTTCTGGTTCCTCTGGTCTGACTTCATGTCCTCTCCCCCCCACTGGTAGCAGGGGCAGGGGAAGAGGCTTAGCCTTGGGTAGAGGCAGGGGCTGGGGCCTGATCTGGTCCTCTCTCCCAGGGGCAGGTGCTGTGCCAGGTAAGGTCTGAGCAGGGCTCTGGGCAGCAGAGACACCAGCCAGTAGATGGGCTCCTCATTCACTATGTCATGGAAGCTCTGGAGGTACTGACGCACGGCTGCAGAGGGCTGGATGGAGGACAGGTTCTGTAGGCAGGAGGAGGAGGAGGAGGAGGAGGAAGAGGAGGAGGAGAAGGAGGAAAAGGAGGAGGAGAAGAGGAATAGGAGGAGGAAAATCTAATTACATTTTATTTGTCACTAGCTGAATATAACTGGTGTAGACTTGAAATGTTTACGAGCCCTTCTCATTGATGCAGAGTTTTAAATAATAATACAAATAAAAGTAACAGGAGGAATAAAACAAAATACACAACAAAATACAAGGAGTACCAGTACCAGATCAATGTGGAGCTATATACAGGGAGTACCAATACCAGATCAATGTGGAGCTATATGCTGGGAGTACCAGTACCAGATCAATGTGGAGCTATATATAATAATATACAGGGAGTACCAGTACCAGATCAATGTGGAGCTATATACAGGGAGTACCAGTACCAGATCAATGTGGAGCTATATACAGGGAGAACCAGTACCAGATCAATGTGGAGCTATATACAGGGAGTACCAGTACCAGATCAATATGGAGCTATATACAGGGAGTACCAATTCCAGATCAATGTGGAGCTATATACAGGGAGTACTAGTACCAGATCAATGTGGAGCTATATACAGGGAGAACCAGTACCAGATCAATGTGGAGCTATATTCAGGGAGTACCAGTACCAGATCAACGTGGAGCTATATACAGGGAGTACCAGTACCAGATCAATGTGGAGCTATATACAGGGAGTACCAGTACCAGATCAATGTGGAGCTATATACAGGGAGTACCAGTACCAGATCAATGTGGAGCTATATACAGGGAGTACCAGTACCAGATCAATGTGGAGCTATATACAGGGAGTACCAGTACCAGATCAATGTGGAGCTATATACAGGGAGTACCAGTACCAGATAAATGTGGAGCTATATACAGGGAGTACCAGTACCAGATCAATGTGGAGCTATATACAGGGAGTACCAGATAAATGTGGAGCTATATACAGGGAGTACCAGTACCAGATCAATGTGCAGAGGTACGAGGTATTTGACGTTGATACAGTATGTACATGAAGGCAGGGTAAAGTTACTGCAAAGTTGGGTTGCAACCTGTAAGATGTCACCCTTCTCCGTCGGCGCCATCTTAGCATAAACCAAGAGGAGGAGGAGGAGACGGGTGTTTTACCCTGTACCTGCTGAGATAGGGAGGTTCTGTAGAGAGGAGAGAGCTCGTTACCAGGTGTTGTTCTGTTCTGATGGCCCAAGGCAGAGTGTGACACTGCCACATATATAACAGTAGCAGTCTACAAATCGAGTCATAGTAGAAAGAGATCCCTTGTCTCCTGTTTTCTGGATTACTTCCATGACTTTTCTTTGCATCTTGGAGGTTGTCTGGTGGTCATCAATTCACATCGACCAATTTACCAAGTGGGTTGAAATGTTTTTCCTGAAGGATAGTGAATTTCATCCTCAGCTCCTCATATCTGATCGTGGATTCCAGTTCACAGGCAATGTTATGGAGGATCTTTGCAGGTCATGGGGGATGACACCACCAGTTCACCACAAATTACCATCCACAAGCCAATCTTACGGAGAGAGACAATCGTACTCTCAAGACTACGATTGCCTCTTTTGTGGGAGAACACCACAGGAACTGGGACCAGTGGCTTCCTGAGTTCCGTTATGCCATCAACACGGCAAAACATGAAATAAGCAGAAACCCCGACTCCTGAGCCTTCCATGGGGAGGAATCTCCAAGGGCCTCAGGACAGGCTGATCCCACCCTCCAACCTCTTGGAGACACAGCAGGCATAAGAAGTCCAACAGAGGGGGGCCATATGCCAGGCCAGACAAGACAAATACTATAATGCACAGTTTTCTGCCGGGAGATATGGTCTGGGCGCATCCGCTTTCTAAAGCGTCGGACTACTTCTCGTCCAAGTCTTGAGCTGAAGTGGTCCAGTCCAGCAACAGTGATGAGACAGTTGGGGTCCTGTCAGCTATGGAATAGAATGGAAGGTGACGAAAACACACACTGTGTTCAATCTGAAGCCCTACTTCGGGGTTCAGCCTCCTGTGCCGCCACTGTTATATGCCACAGTATACACTACCGGTCAAAAGTTTTACAACACCTACTCATTCAACATTTTTTTTTTTTACTATTTTCTACATTGTAGAATAATAGTGAAGACATCAAAACTATGAAATAACACATATGGAATCATGTTGTAACCAAAAAAAGTGTTAAAAAAATCAAAATTAATTTTACATTTGAGATTCTTCAAATAGCCATCCTTTGCCTTGATGACAGCTTTGCACACTCTTGGCATTCTCTCAACCAGCTTCACCTGGAATGCTTTTCAACAGTATTGAAGGAGTTCCCACATATGCTGAGCACTTGTTGGCTTCTCTTCCTTCACTCTGTGGTCCAACTCATCCCAAACCATCTCAATTTGGTTAAGGTCGTGGGATTGTTGAGGCCAGGTCATCTGATGCAGCACTCCATCACTCTCCTTCTTGGTAATATAGCCTTACACAGAGAATGCACCCTGATCTGTTTCACCTGTCTTTGTGATTGTCTCCACACCCCTCCAGGTGTCACCCATCTTCCCCATTATCCCCAGTGTACAGTGGCTTGCGAAAGTATTCACCCCAGTTGGCATTTTCCCTATTTTGTTGCCTTACAACCTGGAATTAAAATAGATTTTGGGGGGGCTGGTATCATTTGATTTACACAACATGCCTACCACTTTGAAAATGCAAAATATTTTTTTGGGTGAAACAAACAAGAAATAAGACAAAGAAACAGAAAACTTGAACGTGCATAACTATTCACCCCCCCAAAGTCAATACTTTGTAGAGCCACCTTTTGCAGCAATTACAGCTGCAAGTCTCTTGGGGTATGTCTCTATAAGCTTGGCACATCTAGCCACTGGGATTTTTGCCCATTCTTCAAGGCAAAACTACTCCAGCTCCTTCAAGTTGGATGGGTTCCGCTGGTGTACAGCAATCTTTAAGTCATACCACAGTTTCTCAATTGGATTGAGGTTTGGGCTTAATGTTTCCCCTTAAACCATTCGAGGGTTGCTTTAACAGTATGCTTAGGGTCATTGTCCTGCTGGAAGGTGAACCTCCGTCCCAGTCTCAAATCTCTGGAAGACTGAAACAGGTTTCCCTCAAGAAATTCCTTGTATTTAGTGCCATCCATCATTCCTTCAATTCTGAGCAGTTTCCCAGTCCCTGCCGATGAAAAACATCCCCACAGCATGATGCTGCCACCACCATGCTTCACTGTGGGGATGGTGTTCTCGGGGTGATGAGAGGTGTTGGGTTTTCACCAGACATAGCGTTTTCCTTGATGGCCAAAAAGCTCCATTTTAGTCTCATTTGACCAGAGTATCTTCTTCCATATGTTTGGGGAGTCTCCCACATGCCTTTTGGCGAACACCAAACGTGTTTGCTTATTTTTCTTCTTTAAGCAATGGCTTTTTTCTGGCCACTCTTCCGCAAAACTCAGCTCTGTGGACTGTATGGCTTAAAGTGGTCCTGTGGACAGATACTCCAATCTCCGCTGTGGAGCTTTGCAGCTCCTTCAGGGTTATCTTTGGTCTCTTTGTTGCCTCTCTGATTTAATGCCCTCCTTGCCTGGTCTGTGAGTTTTGGTGGGCGGCCCTCTCTTGGCAGGTTTGTTGTGGTGCCATATTCTTTCAATTTTTTTATAATGGATTTAATGGTGCTCCGTGGGATGTTCAAAGTTTCTGATATTTTTATATAACCCAACCCTGATCTGTACTTCTCCACAACTTTGTCCCTGACATGTTTGGAGTGCTCCTTGCTCTTCATGGTTCCGCTTGCTTGGTGGTGCCCCTTGCTTAGTGGTGTTGCAGACTCTGGGGCCTTTCAGAACAGGTGTATATATAGTGAGATCATGTGACAGGTCATGTGAAAATTAGATTGCACACAGGTGGACTTTATTTAACTAATTATGTGACTTCTGAAGGTAATTGGTTGCACCAGATCTTATTTTCCGTTATTGATTTTTTAGAATTTTTTGAAACAAGTAATTTTTTTCATTTCACTTCACCAATTTGGAGTATTTTGTGTATGTCCATTATATGAAATCCTAATAAAAATCCATTTAAATTACAGGTTGTAATGCAACAAAATAGGAAAAACGGCAAGGGGGATGAATACTTTTGCAAGGCACTGTATATATATATATATATATTTATTAAAATATGAATATCATACAGTGGACACCTAAGCCCACAGCTGAACCGTGAGGTGGACAATTATTGTTTTAGGAAAGTAGCCTAAAACCCCCTCAAAAATATAAAGGCTATAAAGGAATAGTGTTTTTGTTATTTGTTATAGGCTTTTTTTAAGGGCACGTAAATGTGGCTAATTTGGCCAACATCCCTGGTTTATTGATGGCGCTGGCTGCGCCAGGTTGGATCTGAATGCATATGGATGTCCGTAACATTTCTCAAATGTCCAGTAAATTAAAATCTTCCCTGTCATGTTGTCCGGTGCCAGATTTTCCTTAAGGAAACTCTGAAATGGCATATTGTTTTTATGAAGATTTTAGAATATTGACATGAAAATCTGTCGCCAATTGGATGGAAACCTTGCTATAGACACCCTAAAAGCCAATTTAGGGAAATATTATTTGAATGATAAAAGACTATGAACTGAACTGAATGAACTAAAGGGAATATTATTTGAATGCTAAAAGACTATGAACTGAACTGAATGAACTAAAGGGAATATTATTGTAATGCTAAAATACTATGAAGTGAACTGAATGAACTAAAGGGAATATTGTTGTAATGATAAAAGACTATGAACTGAACTGAATGAACTAAAGGGAATATTATTGTAATGATAAAAGACTATGACGTGAACTGAATGAACTAGAGGGAATCAAAAAAGGGGAAAGAAAGCAGAAACTTGAAACTATTGATTCTGTTTTGGGTCTAAATACACTAAAACTTGAGTAATAGAATTTGAATTTAACCAACACAAAAAAAGGGTTCAATAAGGTTACTGGTTCATTGAAAAGGTTAATGGAAGGTTAATTGATTATTAAATGATTAATTGATAAATCACCTACGACATTCCAGTTGTTTTTTCTTGCTATACGTCCTCTTACATTGTATATTAAGATATACCTTACATTTTATATTAAGATATATCTTAAATTGTATATTAAGATATATCTTAAATTGTATATTAAGGTTGTTATAAGAGCGTCTTGCCAGGTGTGGTGGAGTTTGGTTCTGGGCCTCCTTCAGAGACTCCTGGTAGCGTTGATGGGTTGTCTGGAGAAACAGCATGATGTCTGGGGGACCCTGGACTGTTCTGATCAGCACCTGGCACTCACACACACATTTAGCAGACACTGTTATCCAGAGCAACTTATCTTAAGATAGCTAGGGACGACAACCACGTATCACAGTCATAGAAAGTAAAACTTTACGGTATTCTTTTATTTAATGTATTTTCCTTTCACCTGCAGCATGGTGATGACTCTGTCCAGGTATAGCGCCTCCTGGTGGCAGAAGTCAACGTAGAAGCGGGCAGGCAGACGTCTGGTATACATCCCACTGAGGAAGGCTGAGTGGAGGGTCTCATCTGCTACTGTCTTACTGGTCTAACACAGGACGTCATAAATACTCACCTCTTCAACCAGTTCTGGGGGGAGAATTTTTGTTGTTGTTGCTTTGGTGCAGTTTTCATAAGTATGTGGTACATTTTAGCAACTCTTAGTACAAAACTCAAAACAGATAATCAAAAAGGCAGCCGTTTCAATTATGTTAGGTTTGAATAGCAGAGAAGTGGACTAAAAAATATGCTCTACGTTTTTGCCGAAGCTGCTGGGAAAAGTGGTCAAAATAGCTGTTAGCTAATTGGTGTCAAAAGTCACATTGTTTACAGTGAAAAGAACGTTGGAAGTCAGTTTTTAACATGGGAGATTTAAATAATGGCATCTTTAGAATGTTGAAGATATCCCATTAAAGTGGATGAGGTTTTCTAGGAGGATGAAAAGCTTAATAGTTTTAAAAACAATTTCAGACCTGTCTACACGTTTTAAAGTTTGAATGGCGTAGCGTTCTCAAGTGCCATCTAACGAGGAGCTGCACCTGTAACTTCCCACTATCAGACACCACAAACTTCTTGATCTCTTAGATCTGTTTAGCCTTGGCAATGGGCCGAGACATACCTACCTCTCTCGTGTGCTTGCTTCTGACTTGGTAATGCTGCTAAACCAGATCTAAAAGAACATGAAAAAAAAAAAGACATGAATGTATTTTACTGTTAATGTGGTCTCTGCAAAAACGTGGCCAGGTACAAGACAGTATTAGCCCGCTACCTTGTCTCCATCGAACACACGTAGAACCTCAGCTCTCCACAGGACACGTCATTCCAGCCCTGCCCAGCTGTTGCAAAGGCAACAAACAATAACACTTCAATTATTTCAATGTCCTCAGAGAGAGAGAGAGAGAGAGAGAGAGAGAGAGAGAGAGAGAGAGAGAGAATATATCATTTATTCGTTTCGGTAACAGGATGTGTATGTGTGCACCTCCAGTGTGTAGCTCCATACAGTTCTCCCCCTGTCCAGAGTTACTGGGCTCATCCTCCTCCCAGTAAAAATGGTCAACAGCTGAGCCGTCACTCCACAGCCACATCCCCTTCTAATCACAGGAAAACATTGATTGATTGATTAATGGATTGAAACCACTTCTTTTTGTTTTTAAACCAAAAGGTACATTGAGATTTTACCTGTGTAACCTGTAGACATTACTAAACATTTGACTGACTGACTGACTGATTAACCCAGTGTACCTGAGCTGCGTCGTAGCCCCCCATCCAGACCGGCTGGTCGGTGTGTCTCCTGACCAGGTCCTGGACAAACACCTGTTGACCCGGGCTGTGAACCGACACTAGATTCCCTCCGTGCTGGGAGCAGTACGACTGGAGGGACAGTCAGAGAACACTGTGTTAGCCCGCTGAGCTAAAGCCCCGGCATTACCTCGGGGAGCTAAGATCAACGCAAGCTAGAAAATGACATTTCCTGAAGTAATTGAGCGCTTGCTAGTCTTGAAATATTAATGGTTGTGAAATAGTAGTAGTAGTAGTAGTAGTAGTAGTAGTAGTAGCAGTAGTAGTAGTAGTAGTAGTAGTAATAGTAGTAGTGGTAGTAGTAGTAGTAGTAGTAATAGTAGTAGTAATAGTAGTAGTAGTGACAGCAGTAGAAATTGTGTTTTCAAAGGCTATGGGTTAGTTATTGTGACTTTTTTTTGGGATGGTTTATATAGAGAGTTATTATAGTGGGCTAGTATGGTAGACTAGATTGATTACTATAGTTATTATAGTGGGCTAGTATGGTAGACTAGATTGAGTACTATAGTTATTATAGTGGGCTAGTATGGTAGACTAGATTGAGTACTATAGTTATTATAGTGGGCTAGTATGGTAGACTAGATTGAGTACTATAGTTATTATAGTGGGCTAGTATGGTAGGCTAGATTGAGTACTATAGTTTATTAGTGGGCTAGTATGGTAGACTAGATTGAGTACTAGTAGTTATTATAGTGGGCTAGTATGGTAGACTAGATTGAGTACTATAGTTTATTATAGTGGGCTAGTATGGTAGACTAGATTGAGTTACTATAGTTATTATAGTGGGCTAGTATGGTAGACTAGATTGAGTACTGTAGTTATTATAGTGGGCTAGTATGGTAGACTAGATTGAGTACTATAGTTATTATAGTGGGCTAGTATGGTAGACTAGATTGAGTACTATAGTTATTATAGTGGGCTAGTATGGTAGACTAGATTGAGTACTATAGTTTATATAGTGGGCTAGTATGGGTAACTAGATTGAGTACTATAGTTATTATAGTGGGCTATTATGGTAGACTAGTTTTGAGACTTAGTTATAGTGGGTTAGGTGACTAGATTGAGTCCCCTTTTATATAGGGGGGCATAGGAGCTAGAGAGTATAAGTTTATAGGGGGTAGGAGGGTAACTAGTTTAGACTATAGTTTTTAAGGGGGCTAGAGGTCTAATTGGTACTATTTTTTATAGGGGTAGGGAGACGTTTATACTATAGTTATTATATTGGGCTGTATGGTAGATAGTTTGGTACTTAGTTTTAAGGGGCTAGTTGGTAGAAGATTGGTACTATGTTATTATAGTGGCTGAGGGTAGCAGTTTGAGTATTTGTTATTAGGGGGCTAGATGGTGACAGATTTTTCTATAGTTATTTAGTGGTAGTATGGTAGATAGATTGATAATATTTATATATGGGCTAGTATGGTAGCAGTTTGAGTACTATGTTATTATAGTGGGTAGTATGGTAGACAGTTGGGTATAAATTTATATAGGGGTATTTGGTAGATAGATGATATAAGTTTTATAGTGGGCTATTTGGTGGGGCTAGATTGATACAAGTTTTATAGGGGCTAGTAGGTAGCAAAAGATTGGTATTTCTTTATTATAGGGGTAGTATGTAGACTAGATAGTATATATTATTAAGGGGTAGTATGGTAGTAGTTGAGTACTTATATTATAGTGGGCAGTAGGGCTGTTGGTTATATAGGTAATAGTGGGTAGTATGGTAGAGGAGGTAAGTTTTATAGGGGCAGATTTTTGATAGAGGGTCTATAGTTATTATAGTGGGTGTTGGTGGGCTAGATGAGACAAATTTATTTGGGGGAGATGAGACTAGTTGGGTTATAGTATTTAGGGCTAGTAGGTAGATAGATTGAGTACTATAGTTATTATAGTGGGCTAGTATGGTAGATAGATTGAGTACTATAGTATTATAGGGGGTAGTAGGGTTTAGCTAGATTGAGTACTAATTTTATTATAGGGGCAGTATGGTAGACTAATTGAGTACTTATTTATTATAGTGGGTAGTATGGTAGACTAGATTGAGTACTAGTTATTATAGTGGGCTAGTATGGTAGACTAGATGAGTACATAGTTATTAGGGGGCTAGTATGGTGCTAATTGAGTTACTATAGTTATTATAGTGGGCTAGTATGGTAGCTAGTTTGAGTACTTATTTATTATGTGGGCTATATGGTAGACTAGATTGATACTATAGTTATTATAGGGGGTAGTATGGTAGACTAGATTGTTTTTACTATAGTTATTATAGTGGGTAGTATGGTAGACTAGATTGATACTATAGTTATTATAGTGGGTAGTATGGTGGGGACTAGATTTGAGTACTATAGTTATTTTTAGTGGGCTATTTATGGTAGACTAGATTGAGTACTTAGTTATTATAGTGGGCTAGTATGGTAGGACTAGATTGAGTACTATAGTTATTATAGTGGGAGTATGTAGGCTAGATGAATTTAGTTTTAGGGGGTAGGTAGACTAGTTTGAGTATATATTTATAGGGGTGCTAGTATGGTAGATAGATTGATACTGTGTTATTATAGGGGGGCTAGTATGGTAGACTAGATTGAGTACTTAGTTATTATAGTGGGCTAGTAGGGTTTAGCTAGATTGAGATATGGTTTATAGTGGCTGTAGGCAGATTGAGACTATAGTTATTAGTGGGTAGTATGGTGGGCTAGTTTGAGTACTATAGTTATATAGTGGGCTAGTATGGTAGACTAGATTGAGTACTATAGTTATTATGTGGGCTATATGGTAGACTAGATTGAGTACTATATTTATTATAGTGGGCTAGTATGGTAGCTAGATGATTACTATAGTTATTATAGTGGGCTAGTATGGTAGGCTAGATTGAGTACTATAGTTATATAGTGGGCTAGTATGGTGACTAGATTGAGTACTATAGTTATTATAGTGGCTAGTATGGGTAGGCTAGATTGAGTACTTAGTTTATTATAGTGGGCTAGTATGGTAGACTAGAGTTGATTATTATAGTTATGTATAGGTAGGGGCTAGTATGGTAGACTAGATTTAGTACTATAGTTATGTATAGTGGGGATAGTATGGTAGACTAGATTTGGATTACTATATTTATTTATAGTGGGGCAGTAATGTGTAGGACAAGATTGAGTACTGTAGTTATTATAGTGGGCTAGTATGATAGACTAGATTGAGTACTATAGTTATTATAGTGGGCTAGTATGGTAGACTAGATTGAGTACTATAGTTATTATAGTGGGCTAGTATGGTAGACTAGATTGAGTACTATAGTTATTATAGTGGGGCTGGTATGGTAGACTAGATTGACTTACTATAGTTTATTATAGTGGGGCTAGTATGGTAGGAACTAGATTGATGTACTATAGTTATTATAGTGGGCTAGTATGGTAGACTAGATTGAGTACTATAGTTATTATAAGTGGGCTATATGGTAGACTAGATTGAGTACTAGTTATTATAGTGGGCTAGTATGGTAGACTAGATTGAGTACTATAGTTATTATAGTGGGCTAGTACGGTAGACTAGATTGAGTACTAAGTTATATAGTGGGCTAGTTACGGTAGACTAGATTGAGTACTAGTAGTTATTATAGTGGGCTAGTACGGTAGACTAGATTGATACTATAGTTATTATAGTGGGCTAGTATTGGTAGACTAGATTGAGTACTATAGTTATATAGTGGGCTAGTATGGTAGACTAGATTGAGTACTATAGTTATTATAGTGGGCTAGTATGGTAGGACTAGATTGAGTACTATAGTTATTATAGTGGGCTAGTACGGTAGACTAGATTGAGTACTATAGTTATATAGGGGGTAGTACGGTAGACTAGATTGAGTACTATAGTTATTATAGTGGGCTAGTATGGTAGACTAGATTGAGTACTATAGTTATTATAGTGGGCTAGTATGGTAGACTAGATGAGTACTATAGTTATTATAGTGGGCTAGTACGGTAGACTAGATTGAGTTACTATAGTTATTATAGTGGGCTCGTATGGTAGACTAGATTGTATACTATAGTTATTATAGTGGGCTAGTATGGTAGACTAGATTGAGTACTATAGTTATTATAGTGGGCTAGTATGGTTAGGACTAGATTGAGTACTATAGTTATATAGTGGGCTAGATGGTAGATAGATTGAGTACTATAGTTATTATAGGGGCTAGTATGGTAGACTAGATTGAGGTACTATAGTTATTATAGTGGGCTAGTATGGTAGACTAGATTGAGTACTATAGTTATTATAGTGGGCTAGTATGGTAGACTAGATGAGTACTATAGTTAGTATAGTGGGCTAGTATGGTAGGCTAGATTGAGTACTATAGTTATTATAGTGGGCTAGTATGGTAGACTAGATTGAGTACTATAGTTATTATAGTGGGCTAGTATGGTAGACTAGATTGAGTACTGTAGTATTATAGTGGGCTAGTATGGTAGACTAGATTGAGTACTATAGTTATTATAGTGGGCTTAGTAGTAGGTACGTAAGGGGCTTATGATGTGATACTATAGTTATATAGTGGGCTAGTATGGTAGACTAGATTGAGTACTATAGTTATTATAGGGGCTAGTATGGTAGCTGAGAGTACTATAGTTATATTGGAGTCTGTAGCTAGCTTGAGCTGTTATTATAGTGGGCTAGTATGGTAGACTAGATTGAGTACTGTAGTTATTATAGTGGGCTATTATGGTAGACTAGATGATTACTATAGTTATTATAGTGGGCTAGTATGGTAGACTAGATTGAGTACTATAGTTATTATAGGGGCTAGTATGGTAGACTAGATTGAGTACTATAGTTATATAGTGGGCTAGTATGGTAGACTAGATTGAGTACTGTAGTTATATAGTGGGCTAGTAGGTAGACTAGATGAGTACTGTAGTTATTATAGTGGGCTAGTATGGTAGACTAGATTGAGTACTATAGTTATTATAGTGGGCTAGTATGGTAACTATTGAGTTCTATAGTTATTCTAGTGGGCTAGTATGGTATGACTA